ATCACCTATGCAGGCTGCATCACCCAGACATCTATTTTTATACTTTTTGCTGGGTTGGAAAACTTCCTCTTGGCTGTGATGGCCTTTGACCGGGATGGGTCCATCTGTCACCCCCTGCACTACATGGTAATTATGAACTCCAGGCTCTGTGTGTTGCTGGTTCTGTTGTCCTGGATCACAAGTGTCCTTAATTCACTATCTAATAGTTTAATGGCATTGCGGCTGTCCTTCTGTACACACGTGGAAATCCCTCACTTTTTCTGTGAACTTAATCAGCTGATTCACCTAGCCTGCTCCAACACTTTAATTAATGACATAGTGTTGTATTTTGGTGGTCCCTTTATTGGAATCCTTTACTCTTACTATAAGATAGGTTCCTCCATTTGTGCAATCTCATCCGCTCAGGGGAAGCACAAAGCATTTTCCACCTGCGCCTCTCACCTCTTAGTTGTCTTCTTATTTTATTGTACAATCCTAGGCGTGTACTTTAGTGCTGGTCCTGCCCACAACTCACAATCAAGTGCAACAGCCTCAGTGATGTACACTGTGGTCACCCCCATGCTAAACCCCTTCATCTACAGTCTGAGGAATAAAGAAATAAAGAGGGCTCTGAAAAGATATTTAGGAGGGAAGCTATGAGGATGGTCTTTCAAGGAGAGCCAGTGATTGTAGGACCTTACCTCACAGTCGGATGTCATGATTGTTTAATCAGAGCATGGTAATCACGTTTTCAATTTTTTTATTTTATTTTTTATATTCAATCACTGTAGATCATTAGAACATCCAAATAAATTTACTCATAATTAATACACCATACATTAGCCCAATCAAAGATACTACCATGCATGTTATCAACAGATAATTTTCTATTTTTGTGTTTCTTTAATGTTCTGCTTCCTTCTCTTCCTGCTTGATTCCCTCTTTCTCATCCTTCACCTTCTCTCCCTCCTCCCACACTGTCTCTAGTATTCACAATTGTTTTCCATGTCTTTATACGTCCAATCTTTCTGTTTCTGCCATAGAATGCAGTCATTGGGTATACATTGAGTGGGGACATAGAATGTCTCTCTTTCATGGTCTGGCTTGTTTCTCTTAGGATTATATCTTCCATATTCATTCATTTTCTGTCAAATGCTAAGGTCTTGTGGTTTTTAATGGCTAAGGAATATTCCAGGGTGTATTTGTGCCACACTTTTTCAACCTATATATCTGTTCATGGACATTTGGGTTGGTTGCATGTCTTATCAATTGTGAATAATGCCAGTAATGCATGATTTCAAACTTTTTTTTTTTTGAGAGGTTTTTGGCTACAGGGCACCTGCACTCGCCAGACAGACAGAAAGAGACGTAGAGACAGAAAGTGAGAAATCACCCCCCAGGGGGGGATGGCCACACCGCAATCCCTTCTCCTCCATTCTCCTCTCGGGATCTTGGGCATGCACGCACACACGCCCGGCGTGAGTTTTAAGCCACCGGGTCCGGGACGCGAACTGCGGTTGACTACGTGGGAGTCCAGCGACATAGCCATTACGCTAACTGCTGGTTCCCCATGATTTCAAACTTTTGATGGAGGTTCTTGAATTCTGTCAAAGTTTCTGCTAAATCCTTCACAGATAATTTTCTTAAAGGTTCTTTTTTCTCATGTAGTTTTCTTTTCTCTTGCTCCTTGGTCAGCTATGCATTCCTTTCCAAGTTCCAACACCTCCTTGTCAGTCAATTTCTCAGGAACAACATCTAGAAGCCCTTCAATATTACCCTAATCCACACCCAGTTTGAAGTTGTTTGTCATCTCAACCATAGATTTATTATTTTTTAATCTTTTTTTTTTTTGAGAGAGAGAGAGAGAAAGGGATTTTTGCTATATGATATATGTGCTTGTCAGAGGGAGACATAGAGACAGAAAGCGAGAAATCACCTCTCGGGGGATGGCTATACCACAATCCCTATGAAAAATCACCCCCACCCCAAGGTCGATGACCTCGCTGCAATTCTTTCTCCTCAATTCTTCTCTTGGGATTTTGGGCATGCATGTAAATGCATGCTATATTTTTTAAAGCTGCTAGGTCTGAGACTCAAACCATTGTCAGGCTATGTCAGAGTATCACTTTAACCCACACCACCTACTGCCCTTCCTAGTCATAGAGTTTTCAACCTTGTACTCATATGTATTGGAAATTGTTCAGGGTACTTCTACAAAGAAGTGACAGTTGAAAAACAAACAAACAAAAAAACCCAGAGACACAGAAATTTGAAAAGGGAAGGAAAACTGAGGCTAAATATCCATTGTAAATGTCCTACACATGGGGGCTGAGGGGACATGGGAGCCACTGGAGACTCCAAGGTATTCAGGAGGGACAGTGTGTTGTGGTGTACAAGGATCCATGCCAGTTTTCTTTTCCTTTTCAGTGCACACACCTGGTACATACACATGCCCATGAGTCTGGTTGCTGTGGCCAGGGGTGAATTACTGTATGAAGACCCTTTGGGGTTGACCTGGTTTGTGGCATGGTGGTTAGGCTGACTGTATCCCACACGGCCAACTGCAGAGTTCAATTCCTGGACCAGGTGGCTTGCAGAACACGTTAGACATGTGTACATGCATGTCCCAGGTCCCAAGAGGAGGGAGAAATGGAGGAGAAAGATTGTGGCATGATTATCCATGTAGTGGGGAGAAGGAGAAGCTTTCTCATTTTTCTTCCTCTCTGTATCTCTCTGGCAAGTGCACACACTCTCCTACCAGTCAGGTTTCATGATTGCTAAGTTCCTTATTTATACATAACAATTTTTTTTCAAATATAAAATGCATTGAAATTGTTTTTTCACAATCACTATATCATTACAATACACCAAATTAATTTTCCCTTCATGAATACACTGTGTATTGGTTCAGTCAAAGACACTATCATACACATTATAATCAAATTTCTTTCCATTTGGGATTCTTAAATGTTTTGCTTCTTATTTCTTTCCTTGATTCTTCCCTCTCACTCTCTGCCATTTTCCACTTTCCTCCCAAACTGCTCTTCATGGTTTTATACCATCCAACATTTCAGTTTCTTCCACAGTGTGTATACACTTGGTATATATTGAGTGGGAACATACTGTGTCTCTCTTTCATAGTCTGGCTTGCTTCACTTAGCATTATTAACAACTGTGATCACCATTCAGTGAAATAGATCACTAATATCTACTTTATTTTTTTAAATTTTTATTTATTTATTTATTTTTTTGCCACAGGGTACCTTTGTTTTCCTCAGAAAGACAGAGGCAGAAAGAGATAGGCAAAGCAAGAAACCACACTCCAGGAGGGATGGCCACACAACACTCCCTTCTCTTCCATTCTTCTGTCAGGACCCTTGGTATGCACACCCATATGCCTGGTATGTCTTTTTTTTTTGGTGAGGTGTTATAGGGCATGTGAGCTCACCAGAAAGACAGAGAGAGACAAAGAGACAAAAAACAAGAAATCACCCCCCAGTAAGGATGGCCATGCCGCAATCCCTTCTTCTCCATTCTCCTCTTGGGATCTTGGGCACGCACACACACGTGCCCGGCGTGAGTTTAAGCCACCGGGTCCAGGACTGGAACCTCAGTTGACTACATGGGAGTCCAGTGACATAGCCATTACGCTAACTGCCAGTTCCTGCCTGGTATGTCTTTGAAGAAGGCAGGTCCAACACTCAAACCACAAAATTTGCCATGTGAGATTCAGCAACACTACCATCACCTGCTGGCTCAAAAACTTTGTACCTTTTGATCAATATCTTTCCCTTCCTCATTTCTCCAATATCACCCAGTCTCTGATAATCACCTTGCCACTCTCTGTTTAGATGAGATCATCTTTTTCAGATTCCACCTATAAGTGAGATCACATGGCATTTATTTTTCTGTGTCTAGCTTATTTCACTTAGTGTGATGTAATGCAATTGGACCAACATCAGAAAGATCCTGGGGTTCATGTTCTTAGATTTCCCTCAGTACACTGGCCATGCACATGTTCCCATTAACCAAGCCAGTGGAGATTGGGAATGTATCACACTTGAGAACTCTGTTGGAATGTCTCTCTATATCTTTCTTTCTCTCTCTCTCTCTCTCTCTCTCTCTCTCTCTGATGAAATAAATAAGCTTTAGAAAAAAGGGAGACTCTAACATTTTCACAAACTGAATATTCTCCAAGTAGCCAGAACTCATATTGACTTTTTTGAAGGACACTGGTATACACAAAAAGGATATTCTTCCTACTGATTCTGTCCTCAAGATTAGGTTATAAATTTGGTGAACCCAATTTCTATTGTTCCTTCTTGAATTCTTCTACCATCCTCCCAGCCACTTATCCTTCCATCGAGTTAGTTTTATCCAAAGCCTAAAACTAAAGGACGTGTCTTGGTTAAGTTTCTGTGATTGCAAAACCTCAAATTGGGTCTGAAGGGCTGGCAGGTGGTGTGGTGGTTAAGGCACTGGATCCCACATGTCCAGCTCTGTAGTTGGATTCCTGGACATGGTGGCCTGAAAAACATGCCCAAAATTCTGCAAGGAGAATGGAGGAAAAGGGATTGTGGCATGGTCATTTTCACTAGGCCATGATTTTTTACATTCTCCCCTCCTCTGTCTCTTGCTGTTGAGCTTACACACCCTGTAGCTTAATTAATTAATTAATTAATAGAGTCAAGATTATTTAGCTCATGAATGGATACCCAAGGTTCAGGAACCATCTTCCAGTGAGACTACAATGTGATGGTGAGCAGTCTCTTAAGCAGTGGCTGTTCATAGGTTTCTCCTTGTTCTGGTCTGCTTTCAGATGGCCTTGACCTGCTTCATCCTTCCTCCTTTTAAACACAATGGAACTCAATCACAAGGCCTCCAATTTAATAATCTTTTTCCCACGCAAATGCACCACTTTGAGACACCATGAGGGGATTAAGTTTTCACTTAACACTTTAATAATACAACCAAGTCCCAACACATGAACTTTTGGGGAAGACCCACTCACTGATCACTAAGACCAAATTCCAAAATGTGAACTGTTAGGGGACAAACCATACCTAGAGTATATCAACCAGTTAAGGTGGTGATATAGAAAATAAAACTATGTGTTAAGGATGATATGTGTGATGACTTATTGACTGGATTGACTGGATTAATATGTAGTGTATTTATGCTGGGAACATTACTTTTGTATGGTGAAAAACATGCAGTAATAAGATGTTAATAAAAATTAATTAAAAATTATTTTAAAAGAAAGCAATTATGAAAGAATAAAGAAAAATCTGTAGTCTCCAAACATACTGTAAAATAATTTAAATGTTCTTAGTTGCAAAGTGTACTTTTCTCTATAAGAATAATACATGGAACCAACCCAAATGTCCACCTATAGATGAATGGAATAAAAGAGCATAGCACAAATGCTCTGTGAAATACTATTCAGCCATAAAAAAAATACTCTGGCATTTGATAGAAAGTGGACAAATATGGAAGATTTATTGCTGAGTGAAGCAAGTCTGGCTATGAGAGACATTGTATGTTTCCACTTAACATATACTGACTGGCCACACTCCATGGTAGAGACTGAAAGACTGGAGGCCATAAAAGCATTGCAAATTGTTATGGATACTAGGGACAAAGTGGAAGGTGAGTCAGAGAGGGGAAGAGTGTAGAGAAGAAAATTTGGAAGGAAAAAGTAGAAAAGGCAAGACATTTATGAGACACAGATGGTTAATAATTTGTTGACAATGACATGTATAATATTCTCAACTGGAATGGTCTGAGATGTATTTTATGCTGGGTAAATTCTCTTTACAATCTAAATGATGTATAATGATCCAATGTATAAAGAAGAAGAAGGACAGGAGAAGAAGAAGAAGAAGAAGAAGAAGAAGAAGAAGAAGAAGAAGAAGAAGAAGAAGAAGAAGAAGAAGAAGAAGAAGAAGAAGAAGAAGAAGAAGAAGAAGAAGAAGAAGAAGAAGAAGAAGAAGAAGAAGAAGAAGAAGAAGAAGAAGGAGAAGAAGAAGAAGAAATGAAGAAGGTATAAAGTTGGGGTAGGCAGGTGTTGTGGTGATTACGGTGATGGATTCCCATATGGCTGACAACAATTCAAGTCCTGGACCTGGAGGCTTGCTTTCTCACTCTCTCTCTCAGGTCAAATTATAAATAAATAAATAAATCTTAAAAACAAATTTAAAAATAAGAATAGTACAACTGTAAAATATTTCTTCAGTAAAATTTAAGAAAAAGGAAAACAGTTTAATGAAACAAGCTGCCTGTGAAGAAATATTTCTTTATAAAGAATAGTTGAGATTTCACACACCAGAAATTCATGTTTTTCTGTGAAATGAATGAGAATTTTCGAACATTTCTAATCCAACGTTGGAAATAACCTTGAGAAAGTAAGAAAATAACAATGGAGAAAATTGTTAGACAAAAGAAAAAGACAAAAGTCTAGTAAAGTGAGTTGCTTAAATAGTATAGAGAAGTGAAAATCAAAGAAATGGAAACTACAGAAAATAAATTGAAGGAGTAAATTGTACTGCCACAATCTGACCCAAGAATCACAATTTCTGGCTCCAAGGCTTTAAACCTTATTTCTTCTATCTCAGTCTAGTTGACTCTTCCACAGTTTCCCTCCCAGAGTGTCTTTCAGAGCCCTCTTTATGTCTTTATTCCTCAGACTGTAGATGAAGGGGTTCAGCATGGGGGTTATCACAGTGTACATCACTGAGGCTGTTGCACTTGACTGTGAGCTGTGGGCAGCAGAACTAAGATACACTCCTATGATTGTACAGTAAAATAAGGAGACAACTGACAGGTGAGAAGTACAGGTGGAAAATGCTTTATACTTCCCCTGAGCTGATGGGATTGCACGTATGGAGGAAACAATTTTATAATAAGAGTAAAGGATCCCAGCAAGGGGACCACCAGCCAACAGCACAGTTGCAAAATAGATGACTATGTCATTAAGAAAGGTGTCAGAGCAGGCAAGGTGGACCACCAGATTAAGTTCACAGAAAAAGTGGGGGATTTCCGAGTGTGTACAGAAGGACAGCCGCAACACCATTAAGCTTTCTAAACAAGAATTCATGGCACTGATAATGCCAGAGACCGGAATCAACTGTCCACACAGCCGGGGGTTTATGATAACCACATAATATAAAGGGTGACAGATGGCTACGAACTCAAGAATTCATGGCACTGATAATGCCAGAGACTGGAATCAACTGTCCACACAGCTGGGGGTTTATGATAACCACATAATATCAAGGGTGACAGATGGCTACGAACCAGTCATAGGCCATCACTATCAGGAGAAAGTCATCCAGCCCTGAAAAAAACACTGTGAAGAACATCTGGGTGATGCAACCTGCATAAGTAATAACTTTGCTCTGTGTCTGGATGTTCACCAACATCTTTGGTTTGCTCATAGAGTTGTAACAGATGTCTATGAAGGAGAGAATGGAGAGGAAGAAGTACATGGGTGTGTGCAGTTGAGAGTCTGATATTGTGAGCAGGATGATTAGCAGGTTTCCAAACACAGTGATCAGGTACATGGAAAGGAAAAGCCCAAATATGAGGGGCTGCATTTTCAATTGTTCTGAAAATCCCCAAAGAAGAAATGTTGAAATTCTTGTATCATTTCCTTCATCCATGTGGTGGAGATGACTACAACAAATAGAAAAATAACAAGACAAATTTTCACAGAGGTGGGCATTACATCGCTGAAATGCCACAATTTGTATTTTATCATCAATACATTCATTTTTATTTTAGGTGTATGAATGGGGTTGCCTTATGAGGATTCCTTGTTCTATCTCATTATTCATTCCCATCCACCCTTAGCCTCATCCACCCCACATGGTCATTATTCCACAGTTTAAAAAAATTTTTTGTTGTTGTTGTTATTTTTTCCCCATAGGGTTTGTGCACTCACCAGAGAAAAGGGGGGAGGGAGAGAGAGAAAGAAAGTGAGAAATCACTGCCACAGAGTGATAGCCAGCCATACCATACCCTTACTCCTCCATTTTCCTCCATTCTCTCCATTGTGAATTTCAAGCCTCCAGATCAGGGACTCAAACTGCCATGTGAGAGTCCAGCACCTTAATTGCCATGCCACATGCTGACCTCAGCAACCGAACTATTGTAAACTCTAATATCCTCACCTATGTAGTGGGGATAATGGTACCCATCCTTCTAAATTGGTCAACAAATATATTCTCAATACATATTTAAATAAACTTTAGCAGTTCTTTTCTAATTAAATGTTTATCCCTGGTGAGAAGATGAAGCCGATATTTTTCTTCTGCCTCTCAAACATCTTCTTTACTTCTCTACCACATAGTTCTCAGCTCCATAGCCCTATATCAATTTCCTTTTGTCTTCTCCAGCTATCCCAGACTGTTAGCTCTTCAGCTCAATACTCACATTGACTCAGAGAGGGTTTTCTGTATTGCAGAAATGATTACCCAAACATCCTTCTTAATTCATCCTTTCTCTTGCATGACTCCCAGCTGGAGAATGAGGTAAAATTCTACAGTTTCAAACAGCAGGCCATAACTATTCCAATCCTCCTCAATAGTAACAAGTTCAACAATTTACTGTTCATCAAAATTAAATTAAAAAGAAAAATAGGCAGACCTCTGGCCAGCCAGTGATCCTGAGGCAAAGACATCGCTGTTCCCTCACCTCACCTGCGGACCACCAGCCCAAGCGCCCACCCCCTAAGAGAAGTCTATTCCTCCATGTTGTACACTGTAAGGATATACAGTGATTAAATATAAATAAAAATTTTTAAAAATCTCTATGGCAGTCATGACTTCATATTTTTTTTAAAAAATAAAGTTCAACAGGTGGTGTAGTGGTTAAGGTGTTGTATTTTCATGTGGTCAACCACAATTCGAGTTCTGGTCCTGGCAGCTTGTTGTGTCACTTTCTCTCTCTCTCACTGTTTCTCTCTCTCATGAGTATATGGGCCCTATAGCAAAATTACATAATCATAATTAAAATTAAGTAAGTAATTATTTAAAAAGAGGAGTTTGTTCCTAATACAAAGTAATGATGAATATGTGAGACAATAAATATACTAATCACCCTCAGTCAGTACACATTGATTTTTTTGTTTTTTTAACTGTGCTCACCAGAGAGAGACAGAAAGAGAGAGAGAGAGAGAAGGAAAGTGAGAAATCACCCCCTCATGGGGATATGGCCATGCTTCAATTTCTTCTCCATGGGAATTTGGGTACACATACCTGATATGTTTTTCTTTTTTAAAAATTTATATATGTTTTTATTTTTTATTATTATTCATACATTAAATTGCTATACATCATTTAGATTGTGAAGAGACTTTATGCAGCATGATATATACCTCATGCCAGGCCAGTTGAGACCACTGTACACATCCTTGTCAACAGATAATAAACCTTATCCATATCCCACAAGTGTCTTACCTCTCCATTTCCCTCCCAAATTTCCAGCCTGATGTGCTTTTCAAGTCACTGGACCCAGGACTTGAACCATCCAGTTGGCTATATGAGATCCAGCTGCATTAACCACCATTCACCAGTTGGTCTTACATAGTCTATTTTTTTTATTACACATGATGTTCTTGCACTAAAAATTTACATCTCACTCCACAAGTATGTACCACTCTAATACATTATTTTTTTAAACACTCCACAAATATGTACCACTCTAATACATTATTTTTTTTAAAAAAAGTCAATTTTCTGTGACAAATTATTCTCTTACCCTTACACTGCCCCTTCTCAGCCCACACAGATCTCCCAAATTTGAATTTGATTTTCAGTTTCAGGAAAAGTCAGAGCTTTAATGTTTGCCCTTATGTGTCCACTCCCCTCTGCTTAGAATTTCTCCCACTGGTCTATTTGAAATATTTTATTCCTTATCCATCTAAATAACTTCATTTACTCTTTCAAGACTCCCTGGTCAGCTCCTTCATAAATCACTTTTTTTTTTAAACATTCCCACAATTTGACACTTCTTGCATGCACTTTATTTAAACGTAGAGACTCTAATGTTATTGCTTTTACTGAATGCCAAATCTTTTTCTCTGATAGGCTGGGATTGCCTTAGCACAGCTACATCCTCCATCTACCTCCACTTAGATCAGCTGGGAGGAGCTGAATAAATACATTTTGTTTGAACAAATGAGAGACTGTGGTCTCACAGAAATGCATAATGATGTGAAAGAAAAGAAGGAGAAAGGCACTAAAGCAGTCATGAAAAATATGCTAAAATGTAAAAAGAAGGTCAGTTCCTGTGAAGGAGGGAGAAGCAGCAGGGATGAAGAGCCCAAGAGAGGAAGCAGGTTGTGGAGAGAATGAGTGTCCAGCCTGGGTGTGGGGTAACCTCAGATTCAGGGCCACACACTGAGAAAAAAAAAAATTAGAAGTTTTTTTTGTTTGTTTTCTTTTGAGAGGTTTTTGCTATTGGGTGTGTGCGCTCGCCAGACAGAGAGAGAGAGAGAGA